GATTATAAGATGTAGGCATTTTTTTAAAAGTCATTGTTTTTATTCATTATGTTGAACAGATGGTGTCACATCCAAAATAGGTCTTGTCCCTTTAAAGTGAAGGTCTCGTGTGGACTGACTGCCGTATCAGCAATAAGATTTTTGTGTCTCCTCATCACCCTCAGTAAGGATGAGTTCCACCATCTTTGTTTCTGCTACCAAGTTTCTGGAGTGACATATCTATATTAAAGGCAAGATATGAAATCTAAGTTATTTTTCACCTTTTTTTTCACTTGGTAAAGTCTATTTGCAGTCAGAATTTTGCATGAATGTCTTTCAGAGGTTTGTACAAATATAACTTGTTTCTTTGTAGTTTTTCTTCATTTGTGGTCCCTTTTCCTATATGATATCTTTTACAGTTAGTATTCACAAAATTAACTATCATGCCTTATAATTGCTGGTATATTTGGAGGGCTTACTGTGTGCCAGGCTGTGTTAAGTACTTTACACTTACTATCTCTTTTAATTCCACAGCAGCTCTAGTAATGCTGCATTTGTTACTGCTACACTCACTTCATGATGGAATGTCTATTAAATAGGATCACCGTGTAAACTAGCAGGTGGCAAAGATGGAGTGGGGCTTTGCCTGTCTTTATCCGGAGTCTTTGCTCTTTAGTTCTGTTATGCTTAATAAGGTTCTTTTTCATTTTGACACACCAACCTATTAAAAAATAAGATCCTAAGGAAGAGACAAAATTAAGAGGCAAAGACCTTATAAATGTATAAAACCTTTCTGTCTTCTTTTAAAGTTGCTTGAAGCCCAGCTGAAACCAGTGTCTTCTTCAAGATTTTCCTTTTTTAGGGGATCAGGAACCACTTGGTCTTCTGTCCCTCCTTTGTGTGATGAGATATTGTCTTCACTTCTAGGGGTGTAAGCTAGCAGGCATTACAGATAGATTGCTTTTGGTTTTGCAGAGTACCAGTTGAGTTTCTATGGTGTGCTAAAATGACAGGTAAAAGAAGTAACTCTGTTCTTGAAATTTTCAAGTCCACAGAAAAAAGAATTGTTTCTCATAGGTCTGCATTGGGATTCCACTTTTACGTAATTCAAATTCATATGTTTACTTCTGTTTTTCAATGTTTTTATTTAGCAAACATTTATGAGACAGATGCTCTGTGCTAGTTGTTTTGCTTCAAAGAGGAACTAATTTTAATAAGAGCCAGCAGAGCCCAAAGTCATAATATTTTTGTCACATGCAGAAAACTTTAAAATTGAAAAAAAAAATCTCAGATAGAAATAACTAATGTGCTGCTCATTGTGACTTATAGCTCATCTGCCTCCATTTTCTTTTAATAAAAATATAAATAGCTATGTTCATTTACCTCAAAAACTGGTTATTAGAAATTATAGTAAAGATGTTTATAAAAGATTCAAACTTTCTATACATGTGCAGTTGGAGAATAAGTATCAGTCTAATTTTTAAACAGACCAAACTGAAATTCTATGAAGTAATTAAGTAATACTGGATAAAACTCAATATTCACATTAAAATCCAATATTATTTTTGGAAGATCTGTCATAAATATGATCAGTATTGCTATTTAATTCTCACGTTGATATAAATAATTAAAATACATTTAACTTAATATCTATTTTTTCCAAAATTGAGCCTGTATTTTCCATATGTTGTCTTTATATATTAATATATGTGTATTGGAAACATGAGTAAATAACCTTAAATGGTTATTTATGAACAAAATAGAAAATAACATTCTATTCTATGTGGTTTTATCCTAAGAAAGGGATATTGAAACTGACAGTTCCTCCCCTAAGTTGAAAATTACAAGACCGGGACTTTCCTGGTGGTCCAGTGGTTAAGACTCCAGGCTCCCAGTGCCAGGGGGAGGGGGTCGCGGGGGGGGGGGGGGTGGGGTTGGGGGGTGGGCTTGGGTTTGATCCCTGGTCATGCCGCTTGGTGCAGCCAAAAAGAAAAAAGTTACCAAATAAACCATTGACCTCGTAATGAGGTAAACATGGTTGCAAGAACATCAATGTCCTCAATATAATAAAGCACAACCAAGTGTGGTCCATATATCTGTTAGTGAGATAGGTCAGTTTCAAAGTTTTGGCACTGCTGTTTGAAGAAAGTGCTAGTCATTCAGTCGTGTCTGACTCTTTGTGACCCCATGGATTGTAGCCTATCAGGCTCCTTTGTCCATGGGATTCTCCAGGCAAGAATACTGGAGTGGGTCACCATTTCCTTCTCCAGGGATCTTCCCAAACCAGGGATTAAACCCAGGTCTCCTGCATTGCAGACAGATTGTTTATTTTTACTAGTATTTATTAAGTCATTTGAAAGTAGTTATACACAACTTTATTTAGAACATATGTAACAAATATGGGATTACTTCACAGAGTGTATTAAAGGTTCTCAAAAAGTAAAAGAGAAGAGATAGGAAAAACCAATTATTTTATTTTTTTAGTAAAAACTATTTTTTAAAGTTCACTAGTGATCAGGGAAATGAACACTAAAACAGTGATTTTTATTTTGGTCAAAATGTTGACAAAAATTAAAGGCATTTTACATTCATAGGAAATTTGATAGGCTCAGAATTTTTGTGGGACTATAATTGATACAACCTTTTTGGACTTCCACATTTTACTCTATAAATGTTACTGGAATTATTTACCATAAACATGCATCCACGAGTAACTTATTTAACTGAAAAAAAAAATCTGTGAATTTTGAAGTACATTAAAGAAAAGCAAGCTGGGAAGGACAGAAATAGCTTTTCAGAAGATATCTTTGAATGCATATCCAGCGAATATATTAACAGTCCGGGACAAAAAACTTATTACCTCATACTGATCATACTTTTTCTTTTTTTTTTTTAATGTCATTTTGTTTCACTGTTCCAGTTCTGGCAACTAGAGTCATGGGTTAGCAAATACATTTTCTTTAAAGCAGCAGAACCTCTGGAATGGGCATTAAGGGTCATTCATACATAAACGCACAAATGGATTCAAATTGCTTTTGCATTTCCTTTGATTAGCTGCAGGGGTAGAAATTTTGATCTGAGGAAGAACTGTAGTCAATTTTAGAGCATTTTGAAGAAGGGGAAGTCAGGGCCCAGAGAGAAACGCATGACGGGAGTGGTGGGGTCAGACAGAAAAGACAGCTCTGTCCTTCCTCTGCCCTACATCAGCCACTTTAGGGGTTCTGTGAGAAAGTGTCCTCTGACTCCCTCTCACCTCTGATGGGCAAGCACACTTGTGTTACAGGCCATTTGTAAGTCAAAGATCATCTCATTCTGCCTGTCCTATCTTGGGGATCAGGAATGTTAGCAGAAATTGAAAGACCAGGAAATATTTAAAGGAGCCACAGCAAGATTGGTGAGAAATCTGGAAATCATCTATTCCGGGGGCTAAAAAAGAACATATGAAGATCTGCCTTTTAGATTTTCTGTTTATAGCTACAGATTGGAAGCCTGGGTATCATAGGTAGGATCCACAGGAAACTCATTTCGGCACACCCTGATCTTACAGTCGTTCTTAAATCAGTCCAGTAAGAGAATGGGCTGCTCTCCGAAACTGTGGTTCCCAACAGCTCTAGACGTGACTGAACGGTAGCTCTCCTGGGAAGGAGGTTGGTCTGATCTGTTAATCTTAAAAATCTCTCACAGCATTACCCTCTGATCCCAATGTTCCTAATGCAGATGAAATTATACTCCAGGACAAAGGCTGAAAATCCTGTCTGCCTTTTAATAGCTGAAAAGGAACAAAAATGTGTTAGGAAACAAAGTCAAATCTTGACTTGCTACTATTGAGATAAGGCAGAACATTCCGAAGACTTTAGTACAAATGGAGGGAGACCACGTGGGAAACAAAGCAAGCAGACAATACAGAAGACTTAGAGAACATATGGTTGCCAAGAGGGAAGGGTGAGATGAAGGGATGGTTAGAGAGTTTGGAATGGACATTTACACACTGCAATTTTTTTAATGGATAAACAACAAGGACCTACTGTTCCCTACAGGGAACAGAGCACAGGGAACTCTGTGCTCAATGTTATATGGTAGCCTGGATGGGAGGGGAGTTTGGGGCAGAATGATAGTGACTGATGGTTTAGTCGCTAAGTCATGTCCAGCTCTTGCACCTCAGGGACTGTAGCCTCCCAGTCTCCTCTGTCCTCTGTCTATGGAATTTCTCAGGCAGGAATACTGGAGTAGGTTGCCATTTCCTTCTCCAGTTGGGAGAGGATGGGTACTTGTATTTGTGTGGGTCCTTTCATTGTCCACCCGAAACTATCACAACGTTGTTAGTCGGCTATACTCCAATATAAAGTAAAAAGTTTAAATGACAAAAACAAAAACCAAAAAAGAAAGAAAGAAAACAGCTAGGGTTACTGAGTCGAATCTCTCCTCCCAGCTGGTTTGAGCCCGGTGGTCCCAGTCCTCATCTACCTGCCACCTTGCAGCATTCACAGCAGCCCCTCCGAGACGGCAGTTTCTTGGGCCCCTTGTATGGTAGGAAGCAGTTAGCCATCGGGCATAAGAATTTGTACTTTCAGAAATCCAGCAAGAGAAGTCTGTGTAGTGGACATGATGTTTTTTTTTTCCCCACTCTGGAGAGCTAACTCAGTGGTTGCCAACTTACAAAGAGCAATCAGGGTCTCTGGGAGTGTGATGAGCTAGCGAACCTTTATCTGAACTCTGTAGTTGAAAGGAAACCTGAGAAACCAGTCAATAAAGGAGGAAGACTCACCAGGGTCACACTTGACGGGGTTTCTTTCAATCCAGGGCTGGGATGCCCAGCAGGGCCTGGCTGAAGGCCCAGCCTCCCCTCCCCACCTCTCCTACAATACTCACCTCTCCTCTAAACAGTCTAACAAATATTTAAAGAATGTTGGCTTGGAAAGAGCTAAATTATTAACCTACTCAAGATCTTCTGTCTCTTTCAGGCCCTGTGTTTGCTATAAGCTTCATATAACATATTGCCTCTCTTTTCTCTATTTCCGTAGTGTCCATGGAAAACATTGGAGAACAAGGTAAGATATATCATTGCTTTCGATCTGAAATTTTAAAGATAGTTTGAGAAAATAAATGGCATTCATTTAGATTTGATTGGAGTTAATAAATGATACTTTGAGAATGTTGGAGTCAAGACGGGGTAAAAAGACATCTCAGGCTGAATTCTCCGAGACGCTTGGCAGAGACCTCTAGCCTGAACGGCAGTCATTGTGCCAAAGACTGTGGCTTCCAGATAGAGGAATATCAACAATCTCCTGTTTCCACACAGAGTATGACCCCATACCTGAGTCACCTACATAATTCATGAAAAAGATCATTGGCTCTATTGCTTGATCATCTCACACTGATTTTAGGTGCCTTATTAGATAATTGGATGTTTTAATGATTCTGTAACAGAAATATCATCTTCTTTTCAAAAGCTGAAATTGCTGTTAAGGTTTAAAAATACCAAACATGCTATATTTTAAATTCACATATTTTTTTCTACACAATTAAGTTATATGTTAAAGTATTGTCCAATATACTGGGTACCAAATTAATATTTTAGATTTGCATAGGATTTCAAGACCAAAACACAACACGAAGTGGGTCAGTGTGCATTATCTAAGAAGAATATTCAGAACGCTTTTCTTAATCATCGCATGTGATCAATAAGAAACTTAAACTCCTCTTGGAGGAATTCTGTCTTTGTTCAGATGATCTCTGGTTAAAACTGTGGATGCTGAAACAGGGCCACCATATTTGACTCAGGCTGAGCAAAATAAGCAAACAACTTATTTTGCTTTTGCTATTCCGTGTTAGTAAAGCAAAGTTATTAAAGCTAGGATGTTTTAACATTTGTTTAACACTGTGTTTATAGCTTAAAGTTGCAGGTGTAACTTGCTTATTTTTATAATTTAAGAGAGTCCCTGTAGCCATTTTGCCAGTAGATGGGCCTGTCTACAGATGGGAGGGTTCTAATCATGGGATAGTAACTAAATAATTAAATTATTTGGTTATTTTAGAACAAGCACATGTTTTGTGAATACCATGATTTTAGAGTGTATTTGCATACTACAGTGATCATTTTATTTCTCTCATTTTAGTTGTGTGCCTGATTGCTTATCATCTACTTTTTGCAATGTTTGTCTGGTCATATTGGAAAACTATCTTTACGTTACCAATGAATCCGTCAAAAGAAGTAAGTTAAAATATTAGTATAGTTATCTCCTAAAGATGGAAATCTGAACTATTGCTGTCTGAAGAATGAGTTTTATGTCTTTTTTTAATATTGCAAATCTATTTAGCCTAGTGGTTTTTTAATATTAATATGTTAAGTAGTTGAATTTTTACTTGGTAAATATTATTTTTCCACTGTGTGAGTATTATATTTACAATATTAAATATGTTATATGTTCCACTTCTACTTTGGAGTCAGACACAAGGATGGATGGATGGTAGATAGGTGGATAGATACAAAGATAGAGCTGAAGGTAGACATGTTTCTATTATAATTGTCATATTTGTGGTTCATTAGTTGGCTGTCCGCTACCAGAAACAAGAACAATAGAATAACAACTTACCTAATCTTTCCCACTTTGAAAGTCTGTAGCCACTGCACATCTGCTGGGCACCCAGGCTCCTATCCTGTTACTCTGACATATACAGCCTCTATTCCCAGCTTTACTTCTTGACCTGAAATAGCTGCTTCAGTTCCAGCCATCATGTCTACATTCCAGGCAGCAGATCAAGGAAAGGAGAAAAGAGGAGTGGAAGTAAATGTCTTTTTCTTAAGGACACTTTCTAAAAGTTGCTGATGCCATTTCCACTTATATTTAGGATTCAGCTAGTTATATGGCCACATTTGGTTGCACAGAAGACTGGAATTTGGTCTTTATTCTCAGTGGCCATGTTAACCATGGGGCTTCCTTGATAGCTCAGTTGGTAAAGAATCCACCTGCAATGCAGGAGACCCCAGTCGATTCCTGGGTCAGAAAGATCTGCTGGAGAAGGGATAGGCTACCCACTCCAGTATTCTTGGGCTTCACTTGTGGCTCAGCTCGTAAAGAATCTGCCTGCAATGCAGGAGACCTGGGTTTGATCCCTGGGTTGGGAAGATGCCCTGGAGAAAGGAAAGGCTACCCACTCCGGTATTCTGGCCTGGAGAATTTCATGGACTGTATAGTCCATGGCATTGCAAAGAATCAGACATGACTGAGCAACCTTCACTTCGCATTAACCATGTTACAAGGACAGAGTAGATACTGAGGAACAACTAATATTCTCAGCTCAGAAGGTTTTAAATAAAATTATTTGTTCAAATATGCATTTTGAAAAGATTATTCTGGCTAACTTTTTGTTTCTGGGTTCTTAATCCTGATTAAGTGTCCTTGAGGCAAAGGGCTATATTTTACTCATTTTTGTATCCTTGACACTTAGCCTAGTACATGGATGTTGAATAGAAATAAACCTTGCTCCAATAATAATAGTATGGTTTTAGTAGGCTAACCTGAAAAAGAAAGAAAGAAAGAAAGAGGTCTAAGCATCACTGTGAATTATTTCCTGAAGTAATCTGTTTGAAATGCAGCTGTGGTTAGAAAGGCCAGTAAATACGCTATGTGAACAGAGAAAGGATATTAAAAACAAAACCACAGATATCTGCGTAGCATTCATAGCAGGCTTGGTCTAGAGTGCCAAGAGGTAGTCTTTTCCCTTCTTTTCTCACTTTGTCCCCCTACCTCTTTTCCTCCCTCCTACCATATTTTTTCCCTTCCAATCATCTTTCTTGCCTTCATCGTGGCCTGAATTGTAGGTTTGAAGGAGAATTCTGACTTTTATCATAGATCGTCTCATCCACTCTGGTGGTTTGCTTATAACCTCTGAGTTGACAATTTCCACATCTGTTTCTAGCCTGACCTCTCCCATGAATTTCAGACTTCTGTATCTCCCTGCCAAACTTAAGTCCTTGATCATTGCACCGACACTGCAGACAGCACATCGGACTGAAGTCACCACCCTCTCCTTCCCCAAACCGTGACTCAGCTGTTTCCTGCGCGTGTTCATGCCACTGCCAACCACTCCGTCATTCGAGCCCGAAGCTTGGCACCCTCACCCCTCCCCCAGCACGCACATTCTGGAAATGTGTCACTTGCTCATTTTTCTGTTTCAGCTCCAGCCCCTTTCCTTTTACTTTCCATCATTGCCCTAATTCGGAAGCTCCGTCATCCCTCTCGTCTGACACATCGCAGTCTTCCCTGTGGCGTCACCCCTGCCAGTCTTGCCCACGCTCCAGGATTCCGAGGATCCTGCAGAAATCCATCCTTCACTCTGAAGCTGAGGCTTGACTCTTTCCTCTGCTGCTTCTGGCTGCTCACCCCACAGGGAAAAGGCTGGACTCCCTGGGTTGGCAACGATGTCCAGATTTTGGACTTCTTGCTTTATACTCCAGTAACTCTTAATTGTACGTCATTTACTGTTAGCCATGCCATTATTTTCTTTCCAGAATTTTCTTACCACCTTTCTCGTCGAAATAATTGTATTTTTACACATAGTGGCAGCTCCTTCTTGGTCTCCTTTGCGGGTTCCTCATTGTCTCCTGCTAGCTTGTGGCAGAGCTAACATTCAAAACAAAGTCTTTTTGATCTTCACAGCTGCGCTCTTGTCCTACACCACACTCTAGCAAAAGGAATAGACACCATATTCGGGGAGAAGGGTGCGCAGGACATCAGTTGGAGCACAGAGAAAAAAGATAGCAAAATCTCTATTCATATTTTATTTTTAATGTTTCTCCTTTTTAAAAAATTTCATATATAAGGTACATAATATACTAGCTAATAATAAATATGTATGACTAAATATGCATATATTAAGCCTCCAATTATTCTTTTATTGATAGGGTTACATGATCAAGAGTTTGGAGACCATTGTCATAAAATAAAGAGTCCTTGTTTGCTGGTTAATAATCTTACTCCACTAATAAAATGCAAGATCTTGGGCCAGGCTTTTAACTGATCAGCAGCCAGAGAATCCTCATAAAATGATGCTCCTGGATTTCAGCTGCCCATAAGATACTGTTAACTGCAAAAAACCTTTGGAAATGAGATTTTAAATGTAGGAGAAGAGAAAATAGAAGAACATAATGTAAATATCTTCTAATCACTATTGAGAGAATATAAGTTTTCAATTCATAAGATTTTCTCCCAATATAAAAATAATATAACCATATTGAATAATATTTTGAACATGAAGAGTAGGCAGGAAAAAAAAAAAAACCAACCACACTAAATTCAGCCAGTTTATAGTCTGAATTTCTTTCTAGTTATTTTTCCTAGTTGTATTTAGAGGACACATACTCTATTTTTTTCATGTAATAGTTCTACATTGGTTTATTTTTAAGTACAATTACCATTTTTAATAACAACATGATATTCTCACTGAAACTTTGGAGTTTTAGGCTGATCCCAACTTTTCATATTATAGTGTTGTTAACATGTTTGTTCATAGAGCTTTACTCATATTTTGGGTTATTTTCCTTAATATAAGTTATCAGAGGTAGAATTACTAGACAAAGGAAATTTAAGTCACTTGCCAAATTGTTTCCCAAAAGGATTGTAGCAATTTCCAAAGCTAGCAGTTTCATCAGAGCCTTGGCACACCATGTGCTATTCTTAAGAGAAGTTTCCAATTTAATAGGAAAAATGTTTTATGTTTTAATTTGGACACTTTAGGTACTGATGAGGTAATATGTTTCTTTTTTTCTTAAGTCAAAAACAACTAGCAAAAAAGGAAATACAATTCTCTGAGTTTTCTGTGTGTTATTAGATTTTGCCTTTTTCTTAGTTTGTACATCCTTTTGAAATCATACTCTCCTTTTATCTGAAAACTGTATTTGATTCCAAATGTTGATTTCTGATATCGTTCTCCAGTAAAAGGAAAAAGAACTCCTTAGAGAGATGGCTGATTCTAGAACTAGGGCAGGAGATTTTGAAGATGAGCCAGAAGCATCTTATCATGCCAAAAAATAAAGAAGTACTCTGTAAAATAAAACATATCGATGGTGATATGTCAGAGGGCCATAGGATCCAGTTGAAAATGTCCCAGTGACCAAAGCTGGGGCATTTTGAGCAGGAAAATAAATAAAACAGTGTTCAGTTACAACTGGGTGGCTCAGCAGTGAAGAATCTGCCTGCTATGCAGGAAATGCTGGAGACACCGGTTTGATCCCTGAGTCGGGAAGATCCCCTGGAAAATGGCACGGGCAACCCACTCCAGTATTCTTGCCTGGAAAACCACATGGACAGAGGAGCCTGGCGGACTACTGTCCAAAGGGTCACAAAGAGTCAGACATGACTGAAGCAACTAAACACACACACACACAACTCAAAGTATAAAATAAATATCCTTGCATTTCTCAGTATACAGAAATGATTGAATGAATAAATAAGTGGAAAAAAGAAATTTCTTTTACAGAAGAATTCCCAATAATTTGTGTAGATACTCTGTCCTCAACGGCTTCCAAGGTGGCTCAGTCTGTAAAGAATCCTCCTGCAATGCAGGAGACCTGGGTTTGATCCCTGGGTCAGGAAGATCCCCTGGAGAAGGAAAGGGCAACCCACTCCAGTACTCTTGCCTGGAGAATCCCACGGACAGGGGAGCCTGGTGGGCTACAGTCCATGAAGTCGCAAGAGTCAGACATGACTTAGCAACTAAACCATCACCACCTGCCTTCAATGATGCATGCACGCAGGCTACGTTGCTTCAGTTGTGTCTGACACTTTGCAACCCTATGGACCATAGCCCTCAAGGAGGGGAGGAATAAATCCCTGCTTTGTAAAATGTGGGCTGCCTGTAGTAACTTCCTTCCAAAGAGTACAGGATGAGATAGGGAAATAATGACTCACTTCACAGTGGAGAAACCTGAAAAACACCTCCTCAACCAGGTGATTAAAGTCACCATCAACAGTTCTAAGTCACATTGATTGTATGTTCTCTTGATATGATGTGATACGAATGGCACTTTGCTTCTGTGGTCTTCCTCTGCAAAACCCATAACCCCAATCTAATCATGTGAAAAACATCAGAAAGATTCCAGTAGAGAAGCACCTTTATAAAACACCTCAGCAGTTCTATGCAAACTCATCAAGGTCAACAAAAACAAGGAAAATCTGAGAAACTGTTATAGCCAAGAGGAACTTAAGGAAACATGACCAACAAATGTACTGTGGTATCCTCAACAGGACCCTGGAACAGAAAATAAGGTATTCAATAAGAACTAAGGAAATCTGAATAAACTATGAACTATTGTTAATAACAGTGTATCCATATTGATTCATTAATTGTCCTAAATGTACCATACTAATACCTGATATTAGGAATTCAGCAGTTTGATGAGAGGATATATGGGAACCTTATACCATTTTCTCAATTTTTTGGTAAATTCCAAGTATTCTAAAATTGATAAAACTACTTAAAAGCAAAACAACTTCCATTAACTGGCCAAAGGACTGCCACAGTCTGGAGGGTTGGAGGTTGGGTGTGTTATCAAAAGGTAACACCCCAGGAGATCTTTCATTCCATCAGATCTCTACAACTGCCACATTTCCTCAAATCTGTGACATGCATTTGTACATAAAAGTGTTCTAGGGAGGGGGAGTGCATATTCGGTGCATTCCAAGATAGCGTTAGGTATTTTGACATCCATCTTAGACAAGTAATAGTTCTACCAAACAGTATTTGGTCTTTCGGACCTGATGGATGCAGTGTGTTAGGTTTATTTATAAAAGTATTAAACATACCGAGGAGCCATCCAGTTCTATCACTCACTAGAACTTACCTCTAAGGTTAAAAGGATCCAGAACTCTGTAGAAAATGTAATAAAATGTTAGTGGTTTTATTCCTTTTGACTATTATTAAGTCTTTTACTAATTTTCAATGCTAGGTTTTAAATTAATTTTAGACTTGAACAATGGAGACAAATCTACCTGAACTGTGGGAATCAGGGTTCTGACAATGGAAAGCTAGAGACCAGAGTATAAAAAACCTTTTAGCCTTGACATTTGGCGCTCTGACTTAGGCCTGCTGGTACTTGTTCCTTTGTCCATTCCACAGTTCTCACAGAGGACTTACTCTATGCCGAGACTTAGTCCCCTTGAGGGGTTACATGCTTGTGAAAGAGGGAGACAAAGGGCAAATGAACCAACAAAATAATTTCACATTGTGGTGTGCAACACAAAGAAAGCACCCGTGACCTGATGGGGAATATGGCAAGGGGAAGGGACGAGTTACCAGGGTCCCTACTCTAGTAAGGGAATCTTGAAAGTCACTTGAGGAGATGCATTTAAGCTGAAACCTGCAGCATCAGAAAGAGCCGTCCAGAGAGTGTGAGGGATCCTAGGCAGAGGAATTGAAAGTTAGTAGAGACTTTCTCTTAGATTGACGCTATTCTTTCATGACTATTACAGTATTATAGCTTCATTTCATGTTATCTGTTTTCTTATCACTCAAAACTATTTCCAAACAAGGTACACAGTCCTGTGAGTAATTTGTGTCACAGAGTCATATCCCTAAAAATAACATTTATAATAATTTATTTGATGCATCTGTTCATCAGTATGTTGATAGTCTTGGTTGTACACAGCTGTCATTCATTAAATGTTAAGTGCCATATAGGATTCAAGTTATTTGGATGCACTATGCTCCAAGTTATTTATCCATTATCCTTGATGGACATTTGGGTTTAGTTTTTTATGTTTCAAACAGTGATTCTGTGAATATCCTTGTACATGTCTCCTAGAGCATATTTATAGGAGTTTGAACAGACTTAAAAAAATTTTTTGTGTGTGATTATCAAGTTGGAACCCAGACAGATTTTCATTTTTCTCAAAGAAGTATTTTTTTAAATTGGTGGGACAAAATTTGCAGTATAGGAAGTAAAATTAAAGACTACTTCTTTTGAGTGCTAAAGAATTCATGTAATGATTATCCCTAAGTTAAAATTCCCTCTACATGAGAATACTTGCTTGATGTATTTTTTCTATTTTTGTTTCTAATTATAACCGATTATAAACTGCATCCATTGAGCTAATTGGTTTATTTTGCCATTTCATCTATTAATATAACTAATACTTGGATAGAACTCAGTTTGTAAAAACACTTTTACATTCTCTTTTCCTCTTGATGTTCATAAAGATCTGAGGGAGCAAGCATTATCATTTTTCCCCTTTTCTAGATTTATAAACTATGGGGGGAATAGACTTGCCCAGGTTTCATACCCCATTGCCTCTTTTAATATATATGCTATGTCCTGTTAATATTTTATAAATACCTTTTTTGTGGGTATAGTAGATCAATATGTTATTCCTTTGCAAGCACTGATTAATATTTAAGCTTCTTCCACAGTTCCATCTCTCTTATGCAGAGAAAGAATTGCTGGAGAGAGAGCCTCGAGGAGAAGCCCATCAGGAAGTCCTCCGGCGAGCAGCCAAAGACCTCCCCATCTACACGAGGACCATGTCTGGAGGTAGAGGACAATGAGTGCTTTAGCAGGATGGGTTGGGGTGACAGCTAGAAAGCATATCTGTACTTGAAACTCTCAAACGCGCATTGAAACCCACTGTCCTGTGGCTCAGATTGTTATTAACTGTCTTCTATAGAATCCCATAAAACAGAATGGACACCTGAATAAGGCCATGACACAGAGATCTCAACCAAGTCAGAACTGACTTGACTTCTAGTCTGCCTTCCTAGTTGTGACTCAGTGAAGATGTTAGAACTGCTGAAATCTTGATTTGTAGTTGTGTTCATTTTTAAAGTTTTAATTACACACCTGCCTATTCTTAAGTCAAAGGAGCATTATATGTAATGCATATATTGTTGATAATTTTACATAAATTTAAAAGTTATTATATAAATTATACAAAACTTAATTCAGCTATTGATACAGTTTCTATCTTTAAAATTTATAGTAATTCATTTTTTTTTTACAAACACAGCACAATAAATCTCATTTACTTGGGTCAGATTTTTTAGGTCATTTAAGCAGCTATCTAATCAAGTAATTGTCTTAAAAACTGACACGCATGGGGACTTCCCTGGTGGTCCAGTGTTTAAGACCACACCTTCCATTGCAGGGGTTATGGGTTCGATCCCTTGTCAGGGACTTAAAATCCCACGTTCCTCAACAGTCAAAAAACCAAAGCATAAAACAGAAGCAATTTTGTGACAAATTCAGTGAAGACTTTTAAAAAACATATGTTATTTTAAAAAAGCTGACACACTTGGACTACTGGTGCTTGCCCACCAAGGCTCACCCAGAAACTTTGTGGCTTTGGCTGTGTGCGCCCATTTCGGTGGCCACTAGCCCCATGTGGCTTTTGAGCCTTAAAACATGGCTCGTCCAAACTGAGATATGCTCTAAGTATAAAATACACAACTCGTTTCCAAGACCTAGGATGAAAAAAGGACTGTAAAATACCTCATTAATATTTTTATATTGTATATATTCAATTCTGACTCACTTTAGAATCATACTTCAGTATAACTCTAAGTCTCACACATGTTTTCCTGTTTGTTTTTACTGCTTGACAGTGAGCAAGTGGCGATTCCCTGATTTGATATTATGCCACTGATTCTACCCCACAAAGATAGAAATGTGTTTCTGTATATGTGTATGTTTATGTACCCAAGATTGGGCCTAAACTAATATGGAGGAAATTTAAACCCCCTAAAAGTAAATTATTGCACAAGTTTCCAAAACTATTTAATGGCAGTGACAGTATCAGGTGCAAAAATCTAGTTTCTGCATTCCTAGTGCATTGCCTTTTCTACTGGACCCCTTGATGCACCAAGTTAAGACTAAGTCATATCAGAACAAAGTATTAGTGTTCATTAATAACAACTTCACTTTGGATTTATATCATCTGCTTGTGTGAATTATGTGACTCTTGTTCCTTGGAAGAAAAGTTATGATCAACCTAGATAGCATATTAAAAAGCAGAGACATTACTTTGCTAACAAAGGTCCATCTAGTCAAGGCTATGGTTTTTCCAGTGGTCGTGTATGGATGTGAGAGTTGGTCTATAAAGAGAGCTGAGTGCCAAAGAATTGATGCTTTTGAACTGTGGTGTTGGAGAAGACTCTTGAGAGACCCTTGGACCGCAAGGAAATCAAACCAGTCCATCCTAAAGGAGATCAATCCTGACTATTCATTGGAAGGACTGATGCTGAAGCTGAAACTCCAATACTTTGGCCACCTGATGTGAAGAACTGACTCATTGGAAAAGACCCTGATGCTGGGAAAGACTGAAGATTGAAGGTGGGAGGAGAAGGAGATGACAGAGGATGAGATGGTTGGATGGCACAACTTAGACTTAGACACGACTAAGCAACTGAATTGAACTGAACTGAACTGAAGACTATCTTCTCTTGTATTGTATGCCTATCTCCTGGGATGAACTTATGATTCTCAGTATTTTTGACAATCTGGAACAGAATCTGAATTTCCTAATATAGTCTTTATATTTTTAGTGCAAAACTTCTGGATGCATGCTGAAATCAATTTTAACTGACTAGAGTCATAGACTAAATTAAATTACAGGAAGTATAATAAACAGATGATAATGTTGGTGTGGTTAATCTCTCTCTGGAATATGTGGGGTGTAAAGGTAATCAGAGAAGACTCTTGAGAGTCCCTTGGACTGCATAGAGATCCAACCAGTCCATCCTAAAGGAGATCAATCCTGGGTGTTCATGGAAGGACTGATGCTGAAGCTGAAACTCCAATACTTTGGCCATCTCATGAGAAGAGTTGACTTGTTGGAAAAGACCCTGATGCTGGGAGGGATTGGGGGCAGGAGGAGGAGGGGATAACAGAGGATGAGATGGCTGGATGGCATCACCGACCCGATGGACATGAGTTTGGGTAAACTCCGGGAGTTGATGATGGACAGGGAGGCCTGGCAAGCTGCGATTCATGGGGTCGCAAAGAGCCGGACATGACTGAGTGACTGAGCTGAACTGAACTGAACTGAATGCAGAATGGACATGCAGTGGAGGGACACAATGCCCCCAAGGCAGGAATATGAGGGTCCTTTTTCTTAGACCACCCTTGGCCAAAACCCCTGGGTTGTTCAAATAACTTCCTTCCTCACCCTGCGAAAGGCAATGGACCGAAGCACTGAAAGGCTCAGTTGGTGTCCACACACTTTATGTGTCTTAGAGAATTGAAGAAAATGGATAGTAGTATAATTGAGGGTTTTCCCATTCATTCTAGATCCACGGTCTTTCCTCCAAACCTGAAAGAGAAAAATAGTGACTGCCTAGGTTACATTGACTGCTATACATAGAGAACAAATTCAACTATGTACAGTCTTAGGTGTGTGAGGCAAGTGTTAAGACTGTTCATCTCACTTCTTTTTGTCCTGTGCTTTCTTTTTGATCCATGCATCTCCTGACTTCTTATGGGGCTCTCCAAATTTTATTATATTATTAGTTATTTTTATTAAGGAGGACTATTTGCTTTTCCAGCTCTCCCTTGCTATTGATCCTTTCCTACAAAAAAATATTTATAGACTTTTTGACTAGGAAGATTACCATTAGAAGTGACATAGTTAATTCATCACTTTGTACACAGATGTTGGTAATGTTTCCTTTTCAGCATTTATCAAAATTTTAAATTATATAAATAATACATGAATAAATTCTCAGAAGATTCAAGCAAGACAGTTAAAACTCCCCCTCCATTGTTAGGACTTTTTAAATGATAATCAGATGGCTCACTTTAAATTCCAGTGGGATGATTTTAGTTGAATCTGATCTGGCACATGGAGTGTGTTTTAATTATAAAACTAAATTTCCGTTTCTGAAAGACCATGTACAAAAAGATTTTCTACAAAAAAGATTATAAATGAAAAATTTCAAAATATTTTTGAGTTACTGCCCACTTTAATTTGCAAGGTGCATCCCCCCACAGTGTACTTTAGAAATAATCACCACTTAGAGAGAATGTACAATTGCCCAACAAAACTCACATGGAAATTGTGTGACTTTAAACCCATGCTGCCCATTATGGAAACCACTAGTCTTTTGTGATTGTGACAACTTCAAAGTTGACTATATGTGGAAAACACAGAACAGGTTTTAAAGGCTATTTAAAAGCAACAGAAGACACAGTTGGTGTTGATATACTTTAACTGTTGATATACTTCAAGTATATTCAAATGATATACTTCATTTGTATAGAATATAAAATATTATATGTATTTATAATTAATATAATAATTATATTTTGAAATATGTATTAGCTAAAATAAAATACATCATTAAAATTAATCTCCCCCCCCCTTTTTTTTCACTTCTTTTAACATAACTCCTAGAGAGTTTAACAGCACTTGTGTAGCTCACATTATATTCCTTCTGGACAATACTGCTCCCATTTTGATACCTGGCATGAGCCAGTGATACTTTAGAGCTTCACCTGGAATGTCCCTATGAGACTTCTTCATTCAGGAGATGAGCAGGCCATGCCATTCATCTCTGGAATTCCTGAAAAAGAAAGTTTTATAAGGGGATGATTAAGGACTTACTTCAGTATTGAAAACAACTTCTAGGCCTGTTGTCTTAAAAATAAAGCTCATTTTATTCTTAGTTTATAACAGGTTTTTCCTTTTTTTAGAGATTATGATATTAGCTAATGTAATTTTGATAATTGCTTGCTGCAAGTATGTTTTCCAGATTTTAAGTTTGCTTGTTTGGTTTTGCCAGCCCTACTCTACTGCCCACTTAACTGATCTCCTGTAATTTTGGCAGACTGAGAGCATCCTGTCAGATGCATGTGTACTGAAAGAGCATCTCCAATCATCCATAACTGTCTCTGATGTCTGTTTTAGAGAAGAAAGGCTCAGGACTTCAGTCACAAGAATTAAAATTCTCTGGTGGAAATACATCTTGGAATACTCACTCCTCATCTTGCATCTCACCCAGAAGGGAAGATGTGAACTCTTTCCCAATTCAAACAGCTAGTTGAATTTATTCACAAATATCTAAAATGTGTTTCTCAAAAAACTTCTAAAATGTGGTTGTATCCTATACCTAGTCATCCTGGCAGGGTCCAGGAAATGAAATGGTTTAGTCAAGGGAGACATTCTGTTTACTTTGATGAAAATGGACATGGTTGCACCCTTTGTAAGTCTGTGATTACTTTGTAATTAGATAGTATATTTATAGTTGAGCATGCCTTAGAAAAATTCCCCCCAAAGATCTATTCTTGGGAGATCTCTGCAGAGAACTGAGGCTTTAGTCAAATCATTTCATTTTTATATTTATGCAGTCAAATATGTCATTTCTATCAAATTTAAATTCATTATGCTTTAGGGAATTTAAATTTGGATAAATGATTAAAAGCTATTTAATTGTGTATTCAATTCACTGTTAAATCTAAGGCTAAGTGGAGCTTTTTGTTCCTAGCAATCCGCTATTGTGACAGATGTCAACTTATAAAACCAGATCGCTGCCACCACTGTTCCGTCTGTGATAAGTAAGAAAAACCCTTTACTTCTAAAATGTCTACATGCCTGTGGGTTTTTTTTTAATGTGTTTCTTTTCCCGTTGCTTTCCAGATTATTTCCTTTTCTCCTTATTCATGCTTCTCAGACCTTTATTTAGGAGCTATGCCCAGCACTTGCATAAATACGACTGTGGCTAAGGGCCATGATCAGTTGTCTCTGTTCCCCCAGATTCTTTGTGACTTGAATGAAGTGCATGATTTTAGCAGCTCATTCTTGGCTAGTTCTAGTTAAGAAAAATTTCTATGACTCATTTCCTTTTTATAAAGATAATTCAGTTGGCTTCATGACAGTCAGATGTTACATACTTAATATACCACAAGAACAGTACCATATACTTGTCTTACAGTTGGACATTAATGGAGTTTTATCCAGACTGTCTGTAAATCTGTTGACATTTTGTACTTTCTTCAGCATAAAACAGTTGTATATTAACATATTGTGTTTTTAGAAAACGAGTTATTTTATTTACATCTTAAAGCATGTGTATTTTGAATTTAAAGTTCTATTTTTGTATCATCTAGAATTGGCTATAATGTTTATTTTAGATGAGTCATTTTGCTGTTATTCAGTTTTTAGATAAGTAAATAATTTTGCAATATTTTACCTGCCACAACTCTTTCAAAATAGTATTTCATTTTATAACATATTGGGATTAAGCTTTTGTGGGATGCTGAATTTTGTGTGTGTGGTTTTTTTTTAGATGTATTTTGAAGATGGATCATCATTGCCCATGGTGAGTATGGCTCTATACTTAAAGAAGTTTCTGTCCTTTATAACATAATAAGTTGAATCATTGATCTATTTAAATCTTTTTATAAATGAAATCTTGCCTTAGCTAACCTAGGAAGTCCCTTCAGGTTTAGTTTGTAGTGTTTGTTTAGTTAGCTCAAATTGTTTAGTTAGCGCAAAAGAGCCTTTATTCCATGAGTTTCCATGAAATAATTTTAACACCAGTAGGTTAACAAATGTAAAACTTATTTTCTTACGTTTGCTCAAAACAAATGGTTTTCTTTGTATGCACATGCATAAACAGAGAGATTCTAGAATACTTCTAGAATACAGAAATTACACCAAAATGTGCACATAAATTATACATAACACTTCACTTGAAGTATCTGATAAGGAAGGAATTCATCTAAAGATTTAACAATCTGTTTTAAATAGAACTTAATGCTAAGGAGTAGAATAGCAGATCTGTAAATACACACATGTGTTTCAACAAAGGTTTCCACTTAGAATTCATTAAGATTTTAAAAAAAATTTCTAAGTCATGAAATTAGGTAACTGACTAGAGCATTATTTGAAAGATCTAATTAACTAATGAAAGTTGGCTTTTCTACTTTATAACTTTTCATCTCAGTGTACACATCCCTGTCACACCACACCAAGGTTGCCAGTCAGGTTGGATTTGGACATTAAGCATGATCTTTCTCCAAGCCTTGTCTTCCTTCATGGTTGGCACTAGGCAGGGTAGGGCTTCTCTTGTGGCTCAGCTGATAAAGAATCTACCTGCAATGCAGGAGACCTGGGTTCGATCCCTGGGTCAGGAAGATCCCCTGGAGAAGGGAAAGGCTACCCACTCCAGTATTCTGGCCTGGAGAATTCCATGGACCGTGTAGTTCACGGGGTCACAAAGAGTCGGACATGACTGAGTGACTTTGACTTTCAGGCAAGGTAGACCTACCCACAAACCTACGCCAGAGGTGGGGGAAGCATACATAGTGGGCAGTTATCTTAGCTACAGAAACAGTAGCAGGATGTCAGGTTTGCAGTATTCTTTATCTCTGTCCAGGGTACCTCTTACTTTTCTTCATCTAAATTTTCTGCTGTAACAGGTTAAGGCTGACTAACTCCTATGAAAATAATGCTCCTCTTAGAGAAAGATGTTGGTAAATAACCTCTGTTTGAAGTAAAGATTTTCATTTGTAGTGACTCTTTTCTTTCTTCATTCTTTCCTTCATTTCATGCATTCTGTTCTCTTTCTTAGCAAGTTCTTTTTCCACTGATATTTCCAATTTTATGGCCGCAGTCTCTCTGCCTCCCCCCCCCCACCACCTTCACTTATATCCTGGAGATGTTTTCATATCAACATACAAGAGATCTTTTTTACAGTCATTATGTAAATGTAAAAGTCACTTATTAAGACTTATAGTGAGGCAGGCTTTTTATACAGGTCTTGCATATGATTTTGAAGCTCAGGATCTGTCAACTTTTAGTGTTTGAAAAATCAGAAAACCATGCCTCCGGTTCGCCATGACTTCAACGTATCTGCTGTGGCCAGAATACCCTCTGGGGTGCGGGGGACCAACTTCACACCTCTTTTTTACCTAAAATAGATATCCTGTAGTCTTTGCCTTATTGGATATCCTATCAAATAAGTGTTTTTTTCTTTTTAATATAATTTTTAAATTTATTAATTATACTAATAATATTCTTTGACAAGGCTGCAAATGGTTAGGTGGCACTAATTAAATAATTTCAGATTCAGTGTATTGAGTGCCTGTAATGTCTAGAGATGATATATCCATATATCTGTAAAATCTGTAATCCTTATAACCATGACAGATATTATTAAAAATTATTTGTCCCATTTTTAAACAAGAGGAAAGTGAGGCTCAGAAAAGTTCCAGAGTGAACTTAAAGTCATATATCAAGTTGTTTGGACCTCAGCGGCCACTTTCTTTCTACCTTTTTTTATATTATGTTCTTTTTCCAATTAGACTCAGAAAGCAGTTTCCCTAAAACAGAACCAAGAGCTGTTTAACTGAGTTTAAATGAATGTGTAAGGGATGTTTACCTAGAATGTATTTATTTCTCCATATAAAGGCATTCAGATTCAGAGTACATGCACTTTTCAAATTGAGTCTTCAAAGTAGTAGGCAGTTAAAATGTCTAACCAAAAGCTGTCTGTCAGGAAGAGAGTAAGTTATTATTAAAAATAAATATTATTATCTCAAGTATAACATTCCTACCAAGCTCAGTCTTTATTGACTAACCTTTTCCTCTGTTTCTGACTGACATGGCAAATCACACCATGCCCCTAAGTATAAGTTAAAGTAAGCTAAATTAGATGTAAAAATCTCCATTCAAGATCATTTTCCTTTCTATAAAAACGCGATTTGTCATCCAGTACAAAAGCTGGTTCTTACATTCCTGCAGGAAGAGCAGCGGCCTTTCCTGTCCCATCGCGTGTTCCCCTTGTCCATAGAAGCGTCATTGTCTGGACATCCACATGGCCAATCTTAACACCCCAGCCTCTGTCTCCCATTCTCTCCTCTTGTAACCAACACAGATAAGCACAAGGATACCCTCTCTCCTTTTGTGACAGAACGCATTTAGACTCGGCTTGTGTGGAACTGTCGCAATATTACTTCTTAGCATTATTTCATTCAGATGTCGTAAGAGACAGTCTCAGTGGCTGGTTTGCACTCACACTGGGATCCCTTGAGCTGCCAGTGCAACTCTTTCCTACACTGTGCACCCACAGTTTTGCTTCTTTATGAATCTGTCACACACAATACCCTTAAGTTCCAAAATTACTAAATCTAATGCTGTTCCCTTTACCTCATGTTTTTGGAGGTAGCAGATATAAACGTTTTCCATTTTTGTTCCAAATTTTGGTTTATCCATAAGCCCAATGTTTAATTTTTGAATTTTTCTAATTAAAAAAGTTTTAACTTGAAGAACTTACCATGAACTCTGTCTTCTTAACAAATTTTTAAGCATGTAGTAACAGTATTGCTAACTCTAGGCACATGGCGTATAGCAGACTCAGTCCATATTCATCTTATGTAATTGAGTAAACATTTTTCATATGAATATTGTTTCTCCTCAACAATAGAGAAAGAGAAACAATTAGTTTATTGGAAAAGTCAGTAAAGAGGAAGATTATCTTATGCCAGTAGTGAGTAGGAAAAAGGTGTTTGCTGGAGGAGGACATGGCAACCCACTCCGGTATTCTTGCGTGGAGAATCCCATGGACAGAGGAGACTGGTGGGCTACAGTCCGTGGGGTCGCAAAGATTCAGACATGACTGAGTCACACACACACACACACACACACAAAGGTGAAAGGAGAAACATCTGTGTGTTCTGTGCAGTGAGTTTATTGTTTTTATTGTTAATTCATGGGTTCACTACCCGTGAAGATAGCAACCAGTTCCACTTAGGTGTTGTATTACATTTATACTGTATCATCCAGGAATTCCCTTGTCTTAATAAAAAGAGGGAAAATAAGCTTTGATAAAAGAAGTGTGGCTATAAAGTATGAGTTGTATTTGTATTTATGTTTATTGATACAGTAGTTTGAGTTCTTAAACCACCCTCTCCAAATACAGTGATTTCAGAGTAAAAGCTGAGAATTCTGAATCTCCAATTTTGGAATCCTAGCATAGAGACCTGGTTCTCAGAAAGGATCTCAGAGTGCTGATTTGACAGATAAGGAAAAGGAAACCTTTAGAAATTATGGCACTTTGTCGGGGACACATAGTTATTTAGCATCAAATGTACATGATGACCTGACTGTCTGGCTCCCAGTCCTGTTTCTTTCCTTAAACCTGCCGTTTAAGATGTTTTGATAATCTGGTTGCTTCAGTGCTGTACTGTCCACATGCAAGTAGTTTGTAAAGACATCTCATCTAATTTTGGAAAACTTAAAAAAGTTTTTAAATTACTTAATCATAGTTGGAAATCCAAAGATAACACAGAAAAGAATTTAGAAGATTCCTCTTATCTGTTTGGTGTTAATAGATTTTTCACAAGATCTATACTTAAGGCATGTGCTTATTTGTATAATTGGACAGGAAATACAGGGGTCATGAGTAATTAAAGCAATATTACATATCAAATTTCTACAGTTTGAACATAGAAATTCCTTTTTAGTGAAATGGCTTTTTAAATGTTTGTATGTGTAAGAAAATCTTTAAAAAAAATAAATAATTTTTAAAAAGAAATCTTTTGAGTTGTGCTTAAAGAAATGCCAATAAATTTTAATGTTAGGAAATCAAATATTTATGTTAAGGTTGAGCATATGTGTACCTAGGGTAACAGCATAAAACTCACCGAAAATGTTTTTGTTTCGTTAACAGGGTGAACAATTGTGTTGGATTTTCAAATTATAAATTTTTCCTCCTTTTCTTGGCTTATTCTCTGCTGTACTGCCTTTTCATTGCTGCTACAGATTTACAGTATTTTATCAAATTTTGGACCGTAAGTTATTACCTTGGTGACTTTTTTTGGTATACAAAAATACATATATAGACTTTCAGTAGTGACTTAATCCAGACACTAATTTTATAGAATAGAGCTAATTTATATATAGTCATTCCTCATTACTCGCAGATTCTGTGTTTGTGAATTCACCTACTTGCCAACATTTATTTAAGTGAATACTCAGCGTAGCTTTTGTGGTCATTTGCAAGCATACACAGAGTAGGAAAAATCTGAGTCACCCACGTGCACATTTCCAGTTGAGATCAAACTGGAGGTCTTAGTGCCTTCCCGTTTGAACTCTCACACTGTAAATGAGTGTGCTTTTAAGTCTATTTAATGCCATGTCTTTTGCATTTTTGTGCTTTTTTTGTTGGTGATTTCATTGTTTAAAAGGTCTTTAAGCCTAGCGCTGATGTACTGTCTAATTTTCTGAGCAAAAGAAGAGACTGTGATGTGCCTCATGGAGGAAATGCATGTATTTAGATAAGCTTCCTTCAGGCATGCCTTATGGTGCTGTTGGCTGTGAGTTCTCTTATTTAATGTATATTAAATAAGGTATCAATTAGGTTTTATAAGCAGAAACACACAGAACATGGTCATTGATCATTTGACAAAAATGTTGTGACCAGAAGCCTGTATCTTCCCAGGAGCAATGGTTTGGGAATCATAATTTCAGTGTTCACGGCAGCTTTAAAGAACATCACCACTGTGAATAACGAGAAGTGACTATATAAGATTTTTTTTCTTAGAATTTAAAAATAGAAGTTCTTCTTTATGTGTAAAAAGATTATTAAGTTAGAATATCAATCAAGTCCTGAATTGATATTAGGTGTATGCTATAGGCAACTCATTTGTTTTCTGCACTGTATATTTTAAATGTAAGCAAAACAGAATTAGTACTATGTATTTTAAGTACCACAAGATGCTCCTCATGAATACCATACAATATAAAAAGCAGTTATCGGCGTATATATCCATGAATTCTGTAAACCATTGCATAAATGATATAGTGTAAAAAAATTTAAACAAGTGTTAACTTTAAACAATTCACTACGAGTAAATGATTATGCATTATAAATACTAATAAAAAAAAAAAAAAAAAGCAGTTATCCCTGCCAGAGTTGCCTTATTACATTCATTAAATTATCCTTTACTATGGGAAGACTTTATGAATTATTAGATCACTGATGTGAGATTTGAACCACATTCAATGCTAAAGATTTATTGATGCCTACTGTGTGTCAGTTACATTGCTGAGCGCTAGAAATACACAGGTAAATGAGCATGTCCTAGCATTCGAGGGTACTTGCAATGTCCACCTGGAAGAATGATCTCTCATGAATGTCTGAGAGCACACGGCCTTACAGTTCCTCATTCTCGTGGATGGTTTTATTTCTAAACCACAAATACATTTGCAGAGGAACGACTGGTTTTCAGTGTGAGAACACTACTGTCAAAAGGTACCAGTGAGATCTTGTGACCTGGGTCAATCTGATGGATAACTGCAGGATACTGAAACAGAATATCAGAAGGAGACACATCCTAGCATCTCTGGTGCTTCACTGACTGTACCTAAGCCCACATTCTAGAGGGATTCCAGGTCTCCTTAGACTCATAGACTAGGAGAGTCAGTCTGGTTGTACTTTGATGGCCTTTTTCATCCCATGGGTATTGTAAGGTTTATTTTAGACAGGTGTTATGCACTGGTGTTGGACTTTTCTGTGCTGACATTATCTAAAGTAGCTTGAAGCATTATTGTGGGTGTGTTGTATGTGTTTGTAGTTGATGCTGTTGTTTGCAGTGATGTAAAACATCAATGAGAAGACTAGCTCAATCATGCCAATTATCCTTGATTTTCTGGCATAATAATAAAATAAAGCTGTTAAAACATTTGTAAATCTAGAGTATGTTAACAAAACACTTTCAGAAAGTAACTTAAAAACAAATTTTATAAATTATAAAAATTTTATCACTCCTTTTATTTTGCTTCCTACTCGTATAGTTTATACATATTATTATAATTTTTCTATGAATTTGATTATACAAAATAAATATCCCAAATTTTAATATCTTTTCCATATATATATGGATATATATATGGATATATATCCATATATATATATCTTTTCCATATATATATATATATATTCAGGTTATAGTAGGCATTGATTTTAGTTTAAAGATGTATTTTTCCCTTGAAGTTTTAACATAAAGATGTATATCTTTCTCCATATCTAAATTTAAGAAAAATTTTAAACAAACAAAAAACACTTATCAAATTAGGGGAATACTCATTCCTTTGACAAAACATTTTATTTTCTCCCTTTCTTTATAGAATGGCCTACCTGATACTCAAGCCAAGTTCCATATTATGTTTTTATTCTTTGCTGCAGCTATGTTCTCTGTCAGCTTGTCTTCTCTGTTTGGCTATCATTGTTGGCTAGTCAGCAAAAATAAATCTACATTAGGTGAGTATATAATTATTGTAGTTAACAGAACTTTCAATACAAAACTAAATATTCATCAGAGGTTGCCATATGATTAAATGCTAACCTGTCCTGAAGTTCAAAAAACCACTCTTACTTCCCACATTGTCTGGTGTGACCAATACAGATTCACTCCTTCCATGTATTTTTAAACTGTCCACTGTGTGCAAACCATTGTGTATATATACGGTGGTGAGCAACACAGAAAATCAATAACCAAACGTAACCTAATTACAAAGTGTTTTGAAAGAAACAAACAGGATGTTGAGTTATGAATCAAGGACTGGTGATGGTAGAAGAACCTATCTAGAAGGAGTGGTCAGGGAAGAGTTCATGAAAACAGAAAGTATTTAAGAAGTTGTGGAAAGAGCCGAGAAAACAGTATGTTCAAAAGCCCTGCAGAGATGGGATACAGCAAAGCAGTGCTACAACGTGTATGAACGTCAGAAACGTACTAAATAAAAGAAGTCAAATATAAAAGGTTATATGTCGTATAATTCCATTTATAGGAAATATCCATGGAGAAAGAAGCATTTAGATGATTTTGAAAGGGTGGGAAGAAGATGGAGTAAAGAAGGACTGCTTTAATTAGTATAGGGTTTCTTATGACGTGATTAAAATATTTTGGAATTTGGTATAGGTATTGGTTGCAAAACAGTATGAATTACTAAATGCCACTGAAATGTTCACCTGAAAGTGACCAATTTTATGTTCTCTGTATTCATCTCTTTTTTTTTTTTTAAAGAGCTGCATATGTTTGAGAAACTATTCATGTTGGAGAAAACTATTCATAGAAAGCTAAAGAACAAAAAAAATACTATGAAGTTTGAGAAGTAAGCAGGGACTAAGCTAAATGGAGTCTTCTAGACTAAGAATAGAAGTTTCAGAATGCAACCAGGACTTACAGTTTCTTTTGATCGCAAATGACACCCAAGTTATGAGATTCTGTTATTAAAATAATGAAAATTAATTGTATATAATTGTGAATGTTTATTTTCAATATTGAGGTGAACTCTAATCACCTAAAGTACTAGCAGAGTGAAAATATTGGTATAATAAAGCAATTTCCAAATGAAGTATCATATTTCAAATTATAGAGCAATTCAAATTGTAGAGCAATTCAAATTGTAGAGCAATTAAATTGTTTTTCAAATGTAAGTGTTTCTACTAAGCTTTCAAGTTTAGAAACTTATAGATTTTACTTGTAACACTGAAAGGATTTCCTCTGGACAATACGGTCCTATAATTATTTAAATGTTTTATAAAAAGCTATAAACTAGGGTAATAAATGTTAAGAATCTTTCAAATCACCACATTTTTCATAGTACCCTGACTCTGCTAGTTAGATTTTTCCTTTCTCAAATAATGGACAGAAATCATTATACTAATATGTTTATTCACATAGAAAATCCCCAAACTAACATTTTAGGTTTTGCATCTCAGCATTATTTAAGACGAAAATGTAGCATAAAGGACAGAACTTTGATGACCTTGTTCAAATTCCACTCATGTCATTTACTTTTTGTGTGGTATTGAGCAAAGGTCACGCAGCCTCTCTGAACCTAGTGGGCGTAACCAGCCACGATGTGTGACCTTGCATTAGATCCTGATTTAGATAGAGAGTTTTAAAGTACCTTTTTGATTAGCTAGAAGAAAATTTATGATTGGATGACATAAAATTCTAATGAAATTGGAAAATGGAATTTATTAGTTGAGAAAAAGTTATAGAATGTATCTTTAGTCTCATTTTGATTTAAAAAATGTATATTTGTATCTATCTTATCTCTCTGTCCACTCAGCCGTCTAGAAGATGTAGTGTTTTAAATTATTTGCTTGTTTGTATTTTCTCATTTTTTACAATACACATGTGCTGCTGCAGAAATAAAAGGGTTACTTAAAAACAACAATAGATCTAGTCATATTTTAAGTTTGTTTTAAAAGAATAGACAGTCTTCATCTGTGGGGCTGTTGACAGACATATTAAGAGTCGCAGGAGGCTAGCCATTGGTTTTCAGAGTTTCTTCATTTAATCCACTCCTTTCTAACTATAGCGCTTGCTAGTTGATGTGCTCTTTCCTTATATGGTTGCTCTGCCATCTTTTCTAGAGGCATTTAGAAGCCCAGTATTTCGACACGGAACAGATAAGAATGGATTCAGCTTGGGTTTCGGTAAAAATATGCGCCAGGTTTTTGGTGATGAGAAGAGGTACTGGTTGCTACCCATTTTTTCAAGGTATTTTGTTGTGAAAATTTTCAGGGTTTAGACTACTGAAAGTAATCCAACAGAAGAACTCTGTCCTTCTGCATAAGAACTCTTATTTTTTAAAGTATTACTTTATGATCCACTATTATATCAAAGTGGAAATCAGTTGACTCACATCTCCATAAACATACTCTACTGAAGCCAGTGTCTGAGATACATGTTTTGTTCGTAATGTAACTGCGTTCTGCTCACAGAGATCATTTTTCTTTTACTGCACAATTGTAACTTTTTGTTTTAATTATAGTCTAGGTGATGGCTGCTCCTTTCCAACTTGCCTTGTTAACCAGGATCCTGAACAACCATCTACTCCTGCAGGATTGAATTCATCATCTAAAAAGTAAGCCCATACATTTTTTTCTATTTTACTTTCAAATAATATAGTTTATCCTATGGTGTCCGAATTTAGGATCATTTACTACACTGGTTTCCAGGTTAGAATGAGGGCAGGAGGAAAGTGTGACTGAGGTTGGAGTACGTAGGGAGCTTCAGTCATAATTATAAAATTCTGTGATTAATCTGGGTAGTCAGTAAACAGGTGTTAATTCTCTGTAAGTTGACTGAAATATATTATGATTTTTTTAAATGTGGTGCTTAAAAAAAAAGCACAGTATAAGTCCAAATTAGTCCCACTTGTGATCAGGTGAGCTGACAGGGTTACTTTCTTCTGACCCACTGGGCCTTTCCTTGGCAATCAAAAGACCTTCCCTGCCTGGACCAGGCCCTTGGAGATGAATGGAATCCCAGACATCCCATTAGCAGTGGGTGCCATATTCTTGGTACTCTTTAAAGACCTCTAAGCTTGATCTGAGCCATTTCTGTGGAGAGAGAAAGGAAAGAATCTAGGAAATTTATTTGCTGGACTTTTGGCCACTGTTTTAAGTCTCTTTTAGTTCCAATCTATCAGGCATTTGAGGAAGGCCTGAAATTGGATTCTGACTGGCAAAAGGCAAAATGATCTAAACATTTCAAAATGCTCTTTAAAAAAATGTTCTATGTGAAGTTTTAAGTAGAACCACTTACTTTATTAAATGTTTAAGACATATTTTTTAAATATGACAATACCTCTAATTTTTAAATGAAAGCCAATAGCAAAAACATAAACTATCATGTCGTAAGGTCTTCCTCGTTACTGGAATGCCATGTTCACAGCACACTCCTCCCAAGCAGTTTCTTACTGCTTACAACACTTTCTCCTGTGGAACCTGAGGTGACCCCAGAATCCTTTCTAAGGCAGTGATCCTGGCGGCCATTACAGAACCACCTGAAATTGTCACGAGATGAGACCTGTTTACCAGCCCCATCCCTAGAGTGAGTTATGTGCCTACCAGTGAACGTGTGTGTTACATGGGACTTTCAAAGGCACCATAGTCTTACTTGGCCCTGCCCTGTGAGTTTTGGCTTGAAAATTCCACAGAGCTGAAGGCTATTTTTTTTATACTATGTTAAGTGGTTTTGGTAGTGAAGACTAGTTAGGGTTTAGATACAGTCCACCTCCTACTAAGTGGGCAGGGGGAGAAATCCTAGTTCTGGCACTGTTACCCATTGAGGTGGTCTTGACAAGGTCAGGTAACCTCTCTGGGCTTCTCTTTCCTTTCCTTTAAATGTTGAGACTGGGTTTTGACAGCTGAAGTCTCTTCTACAGAATTCTGTGATTTCCCCTGATTGGCCCACATACGTTTTCTATGCCTAGTTGTGTCTCCCCTGTGTACTCCGGAGCTATATATGTCATTGTCTACATAATGTGCCCACATAAAAGGCATTGCCAGCTGAACAGGTGGAAAGCAGAACTCTTGATTCCAAGAGTTCCCCTCACCCCACCCTAAACCTGATTCTCCTTCGTTCTCTTATATTCATGAGTAGTGACTTCCATTCTCCCAGATGCTCAGGCCAGAAACTTGGGAGTCACCTAGATTCCTCTCTTTGGGGACCCTGTATACACTGTGTTTGCAGATCCTGTCAGACGTCCCCTCCAAATATACCCATAACCTGGATACTTTCTTACCACGTCCAGGCCTGCTTTCCTGGTCCAAGCCATCACTTCTTACACGGATTCTGGTTCCATGTTTGCCCTCCCCCAGTCCATTCTCCATTAAAAAGAGAGCGTGAGCCTTTTAAAATGTAAATAAGATTGTGTCACTCCTCTGCTCAGAAGCCTCCACGGATTTTCCGTCTTGCTAAAAAACAGAAGCTAATGAGTGTCCTTCCCTCATCCTGACCAATCTGGCCCTTGACACCTCTCATTGTAATGCCTTACCTCTTCCCCCAGCTCACAATCCTCAGACACACAGATCTTGCTGTTCCTCAGATATACCAAGCATGTTGCTTCTTTAGTGGCTTTGCACTTGTCAGTTCATCTTCCTGAAAGTCCCTCCTCCAGATATGTGAATGGTCTGTGCCTCAGTTCACTTGCTGCTCAGGTGTAACTTTACAGGAGAGGTCGTCTTTGAAAACCCTTTGTTTTCAGAGCAGGCTGCCCCTCCGTTCCCTTTATACTGCCTTTTACCGTTGTCAGAGCTCTGAATCTCACCTGATTTATTCTATATTTATTCTTCTCCTTCCTCAGTTAGATCAAAGACTTTACTCGTTGATATAATAGGTACTTCAGTGAGTACGCTGGCTGACTGCATCCTTGCTGTTCGTTAGAGTCCTGCTGTAGCAATGACCCTCCATGGAGCCCCTAAACCAGGACTTAGCTACTTTGCTGTACCTGGTCTATGGTCTCTTTCCTGAGGATGAATGAGAATTAGTGTAAAAGAAATTTTTCATACGAATAGGAGACACAATTTTCTTTTTTAAAGTTTTCCTCCAGAATTTTAATAAAGGATTATTAGAGTAGCACAAAATTGAAATGATCTCAAATTTTAGATACGAGGTAATTATTAAGGAGAAAAGGCATGTCCTTTAAAAAATATAATAGTTATAGTCAACTAAAATATGTGAAATTACACTTGGAAAAATTTTAAGTAGTTTTTTTTCTTTTTAATATTATAATTACTATTTTGGTATGTTGTAAAAAATATAGTTTCTGTGCCAATAAAGTTTTAAAATCTAAATGAAATGTTATTTTAAACCAAACTTTATATCACTGTCATCAGTGAGAAACTAGATAATTTGGCATCGAATATAACTTAAAATCAATAATAAAATAATGCTAAGTTCTAATTACATTTCTTTACCTGCTAAAATTGGAGGCCAAGGCTTATTCTGTGTATTAATATGGAGATTTGCCAAAGTCAAGAATTGTCATCATATTGTAATCAGAGGAAAGAAGAAAGCTGAGGCAAGAACACTTTTTTCATTGCGAGTCAGTATGACTTAACGCCTTGTTCCTGCTTTCCAGAAGTTCTCTTGGTAGCTCCTACAATTATCTTGCACCATGAGTGGTTTGAGTTCCTTCCTTTAAGAAGTACACACTTCCTTTAAGAAATACGATCAAGAGTTAACCTGATGATCATAATGATAATTATTTTTCAGTCCTGAAAACCATCAGTTTCCTGCAAAACCATTGAGAGAGTCCCAGAGCCACCTTCTTACCGATTCTCAGTCTTGGACGGAGAACAGCACAAGCCTGGGGAAAGGCAAAGCTGGTAAGGATGTGCTTGTGTGGCTGTTTTGAAATATGTTATTTTTTAAAGGCAAAAGTGTTGAACATTTTCATTCTTATTACCTGTAGAATATGTCTTGTTTTGGAGTCAGACGGCCAATGTAAATATAGAACTATTTTCAAAGAACCGTTTGTGAAATGCTTAGATTAATGTCTGGAAGCTGTAGAAAACCATTTTGTGAAAGATAGATTTTCCTTACATTTTTTCGAGTTTAGAGAACCAAATCTTTATTACCATGTATTAAACAAAATGATAAACTCAAAATATAATTTATTTTAAAATGGGGAAGCGTACAGTAAGTGCAGGCAGAAGGTTGAAAAGAATCTGTTAAAAGGGGTCTCAAATTAATGTGGTTTTTACTTGAAAGTTTCTATCCAGTTTCAAAATATTGGATATATTGAATATATATTGGATATATGTATATATGTATCAGATATATATTGAAGTAAAGCCATTGCAGAATTGCCGTAACTTTTAGCTACCTGTTATTTCTTCATATACCACTCACAGTTTGCTGGTTATTGTTGATCTTAATATTTTGATTACTTGGGTCAATATGGTTTATTGGCAAGGAACAAGCAAGTCTTTGAAGGCAGACAGAGCTGATAGCAAATCCCAATTTGGGCACCTGATCAATGTGGGGCATTTGTTAAGTTACTTAACCTTTAGAGTTAGAGTCTTCATCTTTAAAATACTACTTAATTCTCAGGATTGTTAAGTATCAAACAAGACATGTGATGATACATGCAGGAGTGTGTATGTATTTGTGGTTTTCCAAGTGTAAAACCATGCATCCACAATTAAGGCACTAAGGTCTATTTTTTTTTAATTATCAAAGATTATAATTGTACAATATTGAGATGTATAGAACAAAATACAATTTTTGGAGGACAAGCGCTCTACAATATTATGTTGGCCTTGAGCAAAGAATTCTCTTTCTCTATAAAACTGAAACAACAAATTTAAACATTATCCTGTAAGAATGTTGAAAATATCTGTTATCATCAGGCCTTAAAAATATGATGTTTAATCAAATACAAATAAAAAAAAGAAAAAAACTATGATGTTTAATTTGGGAACTAAAGAGTTTAAAAGAAAGAATTGAAGTTTCAAAATTTAAGTAGACATGCCACATACTGACATATTGAATGGTATGAAAAAATACACATAAATTAAAATTAGTCTTGTTCTTAAGGAATGTACATTCCCTCTGAAGAGCCCCATCATTTGAATATTCATAATTTGGTCTATCTTTCCATCTTCAAACACATCATTCTGTTTTTCAGTATATGGGAGGGATTAGGTATTTATCTAAACAAAATTGATGTCTCCTACTTGCCCTTTGAATCCCTCAGTTTCCTTAGAGGCAAAGAAGTGATGTATACTTGGAGGGTAGAAAGACAGAGAACTCTCTTTCAGAACAGATTCATATTTCACCTTATAGTTCTACATTAGTGTAGAGGTGATTTTCTGGTTTCTATGTGCTGTTAATTTGGGGACATGGTAGATTAATTTTCTGTTACTTTGATAGATGAATTTAGAAATTGTTTAAAGGATGGTGTGAAAGAAGAGAAATATGAGAATAGTGAGATGAGAAAGGGCTCAGAGGTTAGTTTGACAAGAATGAAGAATTAGAAAACAGTGATTCAAGGTAATGTGAGAAGTGTGCAGTTCAGCATATTTTACATCATTTTATTCACACCTCCTCTCCTCAGGTGTATATATGTAACTATACATACACTCTTTAAAGGTGCTATTTTGGGAGTGCTGACTGTATTGTGTATCTGTGTGTGTTTGTTTCTATATAACCATCTTGTAAACACTCATAATATGTACAGGACAACTTTGGCAATACACTGGTGGGATTCATGGATGAATAAACAAGTCTCTGCCTTTTTACTCAAAAGCAGCACCCACAAAAATTGCTAACTTATGTTTTCTCTTAAAGGTATGAGCAATCCTGCACTGACCATGGAGAATGAGACTTAACTCTTCTAACAAAATGTACTCATACTTCATGAAAGTAAGGAAAGTTTTTCCTTTATTGTTATGTTTTATATTTTTAATCACTTACTAGCTCTCTTTGGGCAAATCGTTTCCATAAACATTTATTTTTAAGTAACTCAAATAGAAGATGTCTTAGCAGACCCTTGGGATTTTATCAGTCATGCAAGAGACCTTTGAATATAGATATAGCTTCAGTATTAGCTAGATATTTGGTTAAGTTAATAAAATTTAAGTTGATAAACAGAATTCATTTTTATAGTAAGAATTGATCCTAAAATGTTGAACTTTTTTTTTTTCGTTTCGTTTTTTTTAAATGTTGAACTTTAAAATGACAATTTTTATTGAACTATAAAATGACAATTGTCATTTTACAGGATCTTGCAGTTTTTTATTTTTGTTTTTTCCTTTCCTTCAGGACATTCAGTCCTTATCCATGACCACCCATTAGCTGGATCTCACTGGGTCTAAAAATATAAGACATTTATAGCTTGTTAGTGCAGATCTCTCCCATCCTTATTTTTAGTCATAGTAGGACCCCAGAGCATGTGTCACCCTTAAAATAATTGGTGTTCCATTTTCTTTAACCTATAATTTTTTTTTAAACCAAATCATTTTCCTTAAAGCAAAATCTATTTATGAGCCTGCAGTTCATAAAAAGCTCCAAAAATGTCCTCTTTCAAACCAAGCCATAAATATCTTAACAAAATAAACAACTATATGTACTGCTGCAATAAACAATGGGCTTTCCCAGTGGCTCAGTGGGTAAAGAATCTGTCTGCAATGCAGGAGACATAGATGTGAGTTCAATCCCTGGGTCAGGGAGATCTCCTAGAGAAGGAAATGGCAACCCACTCCAGTATTCTTGTCTGGAGAATCCCATGAACAGAGGATCCTGGCAGGCTACAGTCCAAAGGGTTGCAAAGAGTCAGACATGACTGAGTGACTAAGCAAGCAAGCAATAAATAGTATGAAGAACTGAACTTGTGGTTGCCAAGATGGGGTAGAGAAGGACTGGGAGTTTGGGATTAACAGATGCAAACTATTATATATAGGATGGATAAACAACATCCTGCTGTATAGAACAGAGAACTATATTCAATATCCTTGATAAACCATAGTTGAAAATATGAAAAAGAATATATATATACACATATAACTGAATCACTTTGCTGTGATTAATACATTATAAATATTAATTATATTTATATAATTAATACATTATATTATTACATGTATATAAATATATCTGTATTATATAATTAATACATTTATAAATTAATACATTTATATTAATACATTTATAAATTAATTATATAATTAATTTATAAAATTAATTATACAAAAATTAACACATTTATAAATCAAATTTTAAAAAATATGAATAATTGAATGTTGAAATTATCAAGGTAACTCTCTACTTACAGAATTGTGGCCTAGCAAAGGAGTAGCACCTTAAACAAAGTCATTTGTGTCAAAGTACTTCATAGGTATCTGGTTTTTACTTTGTTTGGTTTTGGTTTTGATGAATAGCCATGCAATTCTGTGTGCCAGCTGGCCAGCGTTTTTGGTTTTGGATGATTCTGCATGATGGTATTGTAGATCTGATTGATTGTAACTGTGGTTAGTGTCATGGGCTCAGTTATATCTGACTGTTTGCAATCCCGTGGACTGTAGCCCACCAAGCTCCTCTGTCCATGAAATTTTCCAGGCAAGAATACTGGAGTGGGTTGCCATTTCCTTCTCCAGGGGATCTTCCCAACCCAGGGATCGAACTCTTGTCTCCTGTGTCTGCTGCATTGCAGGTGGATTCTTTATCCACTGACCAATGGGGAAGCCTGTAACTATGTAGGATAGTGAAATTTTAACATTCTTAGTTGGGTTAATTAGCAAAGGGACAGTGAAATTTCTGGAAATAATTCTTAAAATGTAACTATGATTATACAATGAATCATTAACTAATACCACAAACAAAGTATTTTACAGAACATAGTTCTGTAAAGCAGACAAAGTTTCATGGGATTCTTTTTTTCAGTATGTTGAAGTAGCTATAATTACCATTGATTGTGAGGTCATCTGGTTAAATATTTTATGAGCTTTAACATAGTAATGTTAAATGTCACTATGTTAAATGTTAAATGTCACTCTGTGTGTAAATCAGGTAGATTTCCAAGTATTTTGACAGGATCAGTGTTGGATTTGTTCATCATTATTCTCAACTCTTTGCAGAACCAGAGACATAGTGGTTTCTAAATAATTGGTAACTGGGTGATAAAATAGCATCATTAAAATTTAAAATCTCACAGAAACTTGATTTTATTACATTTGGATATATAACAGTAATGGCCACAAAACCCAATTGCAGTATCAATCAGCCATATTGATGTAAAAGAAAACAAATGATTTTTTGATGTAATGTTCTTCATTCTCTTGGCATAACCAGTGCCAGTAAAATGTGTCTTAAAAAAAAAAAAAACTTTCCTAAGGTAGCTGATTATCCAAATAGTTTTTTAAAGTTTTTCCTGCTTTACACCTCAGATTTGCAATTCTTTTAATACACATTTATACTGAATGATAATCTGATATTTGACTTTATTACTAAATGTTATCTTTGTAGTCTCTTCTCCTTTTTGAACTATATTATTAAATAACCTGTGGCCTTTTTGTAAAATGTTTCTTTGTTTCAGCATAGTCTCCAAATAGTCAAAATGTGCCTAAATCCCTAATAGTGCTAAAGTATAGATTAAACAGCCTGCCCAACTTTCTTCCCTCTTATACAATAGGAAGTTTAAAATGCTGTGCTCCTATGCACATGAAATTTCAAAATTATTTTCCTAAATCCTCTAACAACTCACTTGAACTCCTATTGGCCTCAAAACTAAGAACACAGAGCCCTGTAGCTCAGATTGGGGCCCCAAGCCAGCAGTGTTGACAGCACCTGGAGCTTAACAGAAATGCAGAGTTGTGGATCTTACCCTAGACTTACTGAGTCAGCATCTGCATTCCCTGCATTATAACAGGGTCCTCTGGTCTTGTGTATATATCATAGGTTAAGAAGAATTCATGTAAAGGTCTATCTATATTCAAGAACACATCTAATGAGCCTTCTAGTATAGAAAACATTTAGTTTTGAATGAGAGATGTTATTGCAACAAACAGTGAATGAGTTGGTTAATTTTTTGTTTGTGTTTTTAGAGCTAACACAAGAGTTTGACATTTTCTGTTTCCTCCTAAGGTAATGAATGCTGTCGATGGATAGAAGAGGCTTCGCCCAGGAAGGCATCTCTAGTGAGCTTTGGCTGGGTGTACAGAACGTGAATTGACTAGTTCTCTCAGCATTTGCTTAAAACATAACACATTTTTACTCCAGTATACAGATTGTTTCAACTAACACAAATTCTTCTTAAATATTAAAAGTAGTTATGGTTTATGAATCAAGGACAAAGATACCTATCATAAAAACCTGGAATAAATTCATGGGCCAGTTTCACCCAGATATTTGGGTAGCACAATATATCACATAAGAAGCCCATTGATCCTCTGGTTTTCTGATTCAGAAAATTGAGACTATTAAAATACTGAGATTTAAAAGATTTAAAAGATGTCACATCGCATTATAATGATAAGCTTTATTCATAACACCTATTAGTTACCTACGAGAGTGTGGAGGGAGCAGATGAGACTTGTTGACTCCCTCCGATAAGAATCCAGCCTCAGACTGCGTGAACTATTAAAACTATGAATTCATTACAAATTTCAAGTGGCCTGAAGTTGAAGAAGTTGTTTTTTTCTTGCCAGACTTTAATTCTAGCCTTTTTTGCCTGCTGGAAAAGAAGTATGATCATTGAAGCTTGAACTCAACTGGCTAGAAAATCCCTGTCAGATTTAATACATTTCTATTACATCAGCAATATATTTTTCATCTCTTTTAATTATCTGAAAACGGGTGATACTCTGTAATAACAATTATGAAGATTGGTTTATGATACTCTTTTTGGGTTTTGGATTTTAAGTCTCTTTTTAGTTATTTCTTCTATTGAACATAGCAAACATAATGATTTTTTGTTAAGAATTCTTTTGTTAAGAATTCCTGATGGGCCAATAGATTAATCCTCCATTGATATCTTTATTATTTCTTTGTCCTCTCATCAGAAGTATGACAGTTAAACTACATAAATATCTATTAAGATTAAATTATGCAAATCATCAAGCAAAAATCATATACTTTTGGTAATTTAGTTCAATATGAACTAAATGGTATGCTGTTTGGAAACTGAATTTAAGAGAAACTAAGTGGTGTGTTTGTTGATGCCAAAATGTTCAGCTTCAGTAAATATACTAAGAAGCTCTTGTGCCTTGTATGCACTATTTAAAAGTCTTATTTTATTCTTTTTTAATTTGGTGAAGTGCAAGTTTTGTAAATGTTAGCAATTAGATTACGCTGTATACATTTTTTGGTACTGATTTTGAGGATTTAAAGCAGATTACCTTTTAAGACTACACAGCTAAGGAACTGGTATTTAATCAAAGAGACAGTGGTATTAACTTTTCAAAATCTGAATTAGACAAATTCAACACAAAGTAGACTGGAAGATAAGAAGATAATGGAGTAACATATCCTTGCAATTCACTCATCCTTGCCAGAAGTATGAAGTTTTATATTCAGTGACTTTATGAAAGAACCAATGTCAGCTCAGTCCATTTTATAAATCATTTGAGTGCAGCTCTTTGAACAATAGGATGTTGGTCTTTTTCAGATTTTTCTTTAAAGTGAAAGATTTTGATGACAATCTACTTAAAGAAAACTCAGAAGATATGATGCATTCTTACTTTTATCTTAAAGCATTTGGTCATCATTTTCCATTACCTGAAGTGCCAGAAGTCTTAAGGGCAAGAGCATCATATAATGTATTAAGAATTATATGCAGCCAGATTTTTTTCAAAGCACAGTACTAGAGCTGTTTTTACAGACAGGATTCTGTTAG